CGGCTAAACGTCTGGTAATGTACCACGTCCATGGTCCGACTGGAAATTATCATGCATACTATGGACTCCGGTCTAGATGTGTTCCCTCAGTTTTTCTACTAATATGATCAAGTTTCGAAAATTAGGTAAAACAGCTAATAATATTTCTAGTTTATGTGTGGCTACATGCTTAGCGTTGAATATCAGCCTTTTGGTTTTACATCCTTTAGTAATAGTAACTTCATAGTCTATTGGTCTATTTACGCTTTCATATTCATTTTTTTCGGCATTTCTTGTAGTGTTCCTCTTCTCTTAGTTGTTGGGCCCTTCTCCAGCAACCGATCAAGTGTTGTGTCCCGATCCTATTTTCTGCATGTATTCTTTTCTGTCTATCACTGCCGTGACGCTTCATTTGTCTGCTTTTCGGATCATTTTATCGATTTTTTTTCACTACTATACGCATCCTTTTTATTCCTTTCCTATTCATGGGCTCTTGATGCGTCATCATGTTTGTGATAATTTGCATTTCATTCTCTCTTTTATTATTCCCGTAACCCCTTAGAAGTATTTATCATCTATTCCTACAATGTTCTTCATTACCTTCCTTTCATTCCGTAGTGCTAAATCCAATTCTTTCTTGAGGATTTTTTCGGTTTATGGGTTGAGAGGGACCAAGATTAGTTCACTATTTTATCTTCATTTTTAATTCTTTTCCTTAAGATTTGTCTAGAAGCCTCTTTCTTCGCTGCATGGTTAGACCATGGACTCTTTATACATTCCTTATTTATCTAGGTTTATGTAGTGCCTCTTACCCATCACTTCCCAAGTATTGTCAGCATCTGCACTTTCCGAAAATCTTCACGAGTGGCAATCCTACCCAAGTTAATATCTACAAGTTTAATTAACTTGTTCCTCTCGCTAGCATATAATTCCTCTAGATGCTGCAGAAGGGCTTGATATAATATATCATTAACTTTGCAGAAATGACATTTTCTCCTTAAGGTGCAAAACAAGGAGGGAATTCTTATCATTTACAAATGCTAGAAAGATTAAATGGCAACATTTATTTACGGTTGTCTTCTTTGATGTAGAGCAATCATCGCAATGCTTCATAATCTTTATAAAGTAATTGGATTTTAGATATTTATACCAAGATGTTTTGGCTTTAGGCTAATCTTGTGCTTATCCAAACTTGATAAAAGGAAAATATCTGTCCATTTAATTTTTCTTATTAAGCTTGTAGATGATCCTCCATAGCAGCATATATTGAGAATGTTCTGGCTAACCGACATTTTGACTTCTCGACCCACTACATTCCCTACACCTTGCCAAACTATCTCAGTAGAAATTTTTAATGTATTAAACACAAGGTTAAAAATATATTCTTTATAATTATAAAAGCAAATTTATTTGGTTATTTCAGTCAGTCAGTCAATTTTTCGGGGCCTCTAATTTCGTTATTTTTAAATCACATTTCCAGGTGACATAAAACCTTTTATTGCTGTCGACGAAGAGCATGTGCTCCGCGTTTCAACTTTCGGCGCTGGTGTTGGTCGCTTAATGGCCCGAGTTTTCCAGTGGCCTTCTGGCGAGCCTAATGGCGAGGTCGACCGATTGGATCCCAGAAATATCTCGCTATTATCGGACGGATCTGGGCCTATCGAGTTGCCTGTTGAGATAGACTCAGACGACGTTGATCAAGGAAATACTGTGAACATCTATTTCACACCAACTATGCTCGGTCATGTAGAAGTTGAGCTCCGCTATGGTGGCATTCTGATTCCGAATGGGAAATTTAGTCAAGCGGTGAGTTTGCCTGGCTTATGTCCCGTTAGGCTTATTTGCATCTGCCATATAATTCTGTTGCTTTCTTGTTTTGGTGGATTTTTTAAACGCCATTTTTATGCTCGAATTACTTCACTTTACTTGTACTATACTGAAGTAGCTTTTAGTTAGATGTCCTTTATGTTTACATATATATATATATATATATGGGTACTGCTCAATTAATTTGGCTAATGTAATTGACGCAGTATCTAGTGTGGCTGTTTGCTTTGTTTTCCTGTGTTGCTAAGAGGAGCGTTTATACTAAATAGCATTTCTAGGACCCGAAAAGCTAAACGCACTGGTTGTTTAACTGTCACTTGGAAACATGAGGGTAATCATAGATTAGTATCTAACTGGATAATAGTTTTAGGCTTATTATAAAGCCAGTGCAAGGTACAATCTGGCAATCATGGCCTATGCCTAATAGCGTTCGAATGTGAGGTAAGCTGCTCTTTATATTGTGTTTTGCCGTTCTGCTTGCCTGATCTAGTGCCTATGTCAAGTTTTACTCACAATTGTCTCTTGCCCTGAAAAAATATTTCTCATAAGAGAGGGCACAACACATTATCCTATGAACTAATAATATTTAAAAGTACTTTTACGCTTGCCCACCATTTTGAATTCCATCATTATTAAAATTATTCCAAAGCCGGTAAATCAATTATCTCGTTGTAAGTCTGCAATTTAAATGAAAGGGACGTTAAACCGTGCATATTCTAACCTTTACGCAGACGTCGAGCTGCAAATACATTCATTCTTTGTGCTCATAACTCCTACCTTGCATCTGCCAAATGTTTTTCTTTTCCATACTAAGGGTCGTGAAAGTAATGAAAAAATATTTTCATGATATCAGCTCATTGTTTAGACCGTTTCGATTGAATCTACCATAATATAGTTTAATATCGATAAATATGCAAAAAAAATTCGATATTTTATTGCTTTGTTTTCCCCAAAGGTTCAAAAGGAAGACCCATTTGAAAGTAATAGACACTGGTTTTCATATTATAAGTAGATTTTTTAGACAACAAGTAGATCCGATATAAGAGCTGTATTCATCTCATTTCGTTTAGAGATGTGAAGGACTGGGAGTTGAATTTTTCTATAATGTAGTAGGAGCCCTTATATCCCAATTGAATTTCACAAAGCCTTGCTTCTCAAAAGATTATTCTTATCCGGACTGGAGTGAACTGCAGTTTCGACCTCGCCTGAACATGTCTACACAGAAACCCTAACAGAACTTTAACCCTAATAGTGCAATGAACAATCCTCATTTTTTAACCACTTCACCACACTGCCACTGGTGTCTTTGGCTCCAGAGACGGATGTGAATTTCAAGAAAGCCTAGGCACTTTTCATATCGCATTCTTTGGTGGGATTGTCGACGAGCAAAAGTTCTATTTGTTATAGCAATTCAATACCTTACTTATTTTTCGTTTTATAAGTAGGTTTTCGAGATTACCAGTAGATCTGTCCTAAGAGCTGTTCGTAATCATGAGACCTACTCCTAACATTGTGAGAAAATTGAACTACCAATCTTCCATTCTGTTGAAAATATTAGGATGAATACAGCTCTTATGATAGCCGCTGGTATTTTTGAAAATGAAGTGATAAATTGTCATAAATTTCATGCTATGATAAATCATGTTTAATCCGAGTGCTAAACTTGGGGTAAATTATCAAGCTCAGTTCAATTGAAAGTTCACTCGAAAGAGTATTTTGTTACTAGTTTCATTTCACTGTATATAATCAGTCTGACCCTGTCTTCGCAACCAGCTTGCCGGAGCAAGAGTATCTCACTGCCTCTTCTTTCGTTGTCATGCCTTAAATCTTTGTCTTGGTGCACTCGCATAAGTTTTGCTGTTCTCACAGGCGGTATCTTCATTGTGCCCTACCAGACTAATCACCAAGTCACAATTCGTCAAAGAGACAAGTGATGTCTATCCCTTGATCAGTCTTCTGCTGAACTATACTATCTATCTTTCTGTACTGGTTCATTACATTACCCCTTATTCCCTTACCTTGCTCTCTCTTACACAACTTCTACCTTAATCATTATGATGCATCATAGAAACGTGACATTTGAGCTGTTATTTCCCTTAATCTGACCCAAAAGTCTTATAACATGTGAATAGTAGCCTCATTGGACAGGGCTCCAAAGACCTGCTTCTCCAGCTAATTTAGATTTCGAACATCCCTCCAGCCAGAACCAGAACCTCACAGGTGCCATTACTCTTGCGAATATTTGTGGCGTATACTTCGGTTGCTCGGTTGTGTCGTATATACTTCTCCCCTTTCTTTTAGGACCGCTACTTTTTATTCTTTACTTCTTCATTTCCGATTCTCTAACAACCCTTCTTGTCAGTTGTTTACCTTCTCTAACTTTGGTATGTTTACTGGGTCGGCCTCTCTCTTCTATCCATAGCGGTTGTTTCACAAGATGGTTGTGACTATCTTTTTCCTTAGGTACAAATCTCTAGAGTGTTTTGCTATTTACTAGATTTGATTCCACTAATAGCAATAATCTTCTTTTGATTTCCACTTATTCCCTCTCACCTGATCCAGACGCCTCATTTTTGCTAATCTTGTTACTTATTTGTTTCACCATTGCTTTCTTGAACAATAATTTTGTCAGCTTCAAATCTAATCTTGCAATAAGGATGTCATCCTTTAATTATTCGTTCTTATATATTTTAACTGTGTGCTTTTCGTCCTTCTATTGCCTTTCATTTGATTTATTGTCCCATCCTTGCGATGTATCCAGTCGTTTTTGCTCTTTCCATATCCATTTTCCTTTGTAGCATTCGGTGTTTCTTCATTCTTATGCTGATTTCTTTCAGTTTGCCGCATAAATTCTGTCTAATAATCGTTGCCTGTCATACTATAAGATCCCAAGTCATCCAGTTTGTCCGTATTCTCAGGTTGCTCGGCCAAGTTTATGATAAGAGCTATTTTCCTATCATGATTCCTGTAATTTGTCATTTTCCTAATGTTTATCTAACTTTTCCCAGCAGCTCTCAGAAGGTTAGATGCATCTACGTTTTGACTTCGTTCGTACTCATTTACTTTTCATCCTTCTTATCTTTTTTCTATGAGATTTCCATAAGGCATATATTACTTAAAATATCCTATACAATTTTTCCGATTATCCTTCAGAGCATTCCATGTTAGGCTTCTTTTGGTCGTGTCTATCTTTATTCTGCGAAGATTGAAGTACGGGTTTTTCTTCAAGGTCTACAGAGACCCATGAGCAAACTCCGAAACGAGCTCAGATAAATCTTGTCCTGTTCAGATGTTTGCCCATAAGACTGCTGATCTTTTGGAGGGTCTGCTATATTTCAAAGAAGATCTAAGAACAAGGCAAATGCAAGGAAAAGTATACTTAATCAAATCTCTTATTGAGTGGGACAACCTTGTTAAAGGCATTCTTTCATTCTTCCTAAACGATTTAAGTTTTGTAAACATATATTCTCATATGAGTTAATCAGACCAAACTATTTACTATTAATCCTAAATTTGATATCTTTCTTCTTTGACCCAGGACCTTTCCAAAATCTGGTCAGCTCATGATATTTGGTTACGAGATGACTCATCTGAAAATTGCTTGTTTGAAAATTACAACTTGCTTTACGTTACTATTTATAGTAATACTTTTCATAACTTGATTGGCCAAATAACCCAACCCGATCTCCCTTTTTATGCTCTCGCTTTAGCTGTAGATATGTATGTAGGTGTTTATAGATAATTACACTTGACTTCATCAGGCTTACATTTATCATGGATTTGGGTGAGCTGTTTGAGGGTTTGCGTTCTAGACATGGGACAAAACTGCTATGTACCAATTGTTCTGAGCTGACTTCAGATAAATTAGCTTGAGTCTGACCCTCTAGAAGAGTGTGGCCAGCCGTCATACATCCTACCATAAAAAACCACATATACAGGAGATTTAAAGGAAGTAGAATTAGCAAATCTCAGAGTTGATCAGGAATTAGCGAGATCAGCTAAGTGGAGACGACCAAGTCAAGGATACAGTTTGAGCAGGGAGAAGGAGAATCGTAAGGAAAAGGCACCCGAAGACTAGCCTAACCTAGCCAAACCATGTAAAAAGCGATAACATTTGGAGGTTGGCACATAAGAGATTAGTAAATAGAACATGCATAGACCTGGCTTTATGGATAGAAGTCCAAGGCCATTTGTATCATAATTCAATTGGATATATGCACCGGAGACCATTACACAAAAGTATAACATGAAATGAAGGTTTGGTCACTTAATTTACTCGGTTCAGAGACTAAACTGAAATAAGGGCACTCACAGTGCCAATTCAGTCTATAATTCAGGCTCTGGAGACATACTCGATGCCACTACGGTATACTTGCTATTAAACACTTTAATCAACACCTTAAGTAGTACAGATATGCTGACAATGAGCGGGCCCAATCGGTGGATAGAGGAAATTGGTACCTGCATGAAGTGGATTACAGACTGAAAGGTTCAAGCTGGATCAACATTTCTAACACATT